ACTGCAGTTGTCAAACTACTATGGCACCCGTGACCTCCCCCTTAAATAGCTATCAGTACAAGAAAAGAAACACAAATGGTCTGAAAAAGCAGTCATCGCTGTCAATGAGGCATACCGCAGCTATGCAGGACATCGCCATTATAGTTCCTATGCTCTAGTGGTCACTGTATCTTGACCTACAGATATCAGCACCAGCAAAGGCAGCTAAGCAACATAAAAATGCAGTTATTTATAGCATTTGCAGATTGACTCCATCTGAAGACACGCCTTGCAGGTTTATGCAGAGATTGTAATCATTATCAATGTTCTCCTTTTACACAGAGGTCTCTCTGCACCAACTCCTTTGCCTCCTAGGACGGTACCACCAGTTCCACCAGGCACGACAATCTTATCCTGCACCAAATCCAGCAGACTAGATTAATTAGTGTTACCAACTTTACGCAGCAGTAAATATAGCTGAATTTGAGAATTAAGTCATTTAGCTTTTAATTTCCAGAACATCAGTTGACAGTAGACTCACTGTCTATTTGGTGTAGTTCTACAGTTTTGACTGGATTTCTTTGCCCTGGGCTGATTGCCTGTTTGTTCCAAACCTTTCTCTCTGGACTCTCCCTCAGTCTCTTCACCTCAACTTCACTCCCCACCCGTCCCTCTTACCCTCTTCTCCCCTGCCCCCCTCACCTTTCTATTTAACTTATCCTCCCTCAAGTAACACCCCCCCCACACACACACAAAAAGAGTAGAACTAGTATGACATTTGCCACCATCACACTGTTCATTCTGCTTGTATGTTATAACCCTTCTATTTAAATTGTAAGCTCTTTGGGGAAGGAACTGTCTACTACTCCTTGTCTGTACAATGTGACCTCATTCTTGGCTGGCCCTTTGGCACTACCATAATAAACATGATTAAGAATATTTTTTAAAATTAGAAATATGGGGTCCTTATCCACCCACCCAAGGCTGGGTGATAAGACAAAGACATGATGTGCTCCCCCTGCCCTCCTCCAACAAGAGGCCACTAAAATAAAAATAACCATATAACTGAAGCTGAGAGCACTTCTGTAGAACTGCAGCATCAAGAGCTGACGTAACCCAGCGCTTGAGGCACAAACAAGGTTCACATATAAAGATTTCAGCAGAAGCAACTTCACTGACTTGCTGTAGTACCTGGACATTGAGTCACATCACTACTTTAAATAATGTTTTCGATCTGTCTTCCTCCCCCCCCCCAGTCTTCAATTCACTATTTCAAAATCCAATTCAGATTTTCTATAAACCTTTTAAAATTTGCTATTTGTTTATATTAAAATTTTTTGTCTTCCAGTTGGACTCATCTGTTTACACTCTTTCTTTCTCCCCCATATATTTTCCCTTTCAGTATTCACTTTAGCTCTCTGCGCTTTTTTATCTCTTCACTCTTCTCTTTTTCCTTGTACACCTGTCTTTGCCCCTTTTCTTACCCCGCTACAGCCAGATTATCCTCTCCAGACCACTCCACTCCTCAATACATCAAGCTCCACATTTCCCACACTGCAGGTTCCCTTCTATACTCACCACCTTGTCTCTTTTCTTGTTTCCTTCAGAAATATCCCAAAGGTAAAGTGACAAAAAGAGCAAAGTTATAAAGCAAGCAACTTTTTTTTTTCCTGTTTATACTCTAGAGCAGTAGTTCGTAATCTTTACCGCAGCCTGCACCCCTTTGGTTCTCAAAATATGTTCTCGCACCCCTTATCAAAAATCAAAATATGTTCTCGTACCCCTTAAACCTAGATATAGAATCATAGAACATCGGGGTTGGAAGGGACCTCAGGAGGTCATCTAGTCCAACCCCCTGCTCAAAGCAATACCAATCGCCAGCCAGATTTTTGCCCCGATCCCTAAATGGCCCCCTCAAAGATTGAACTCACAACCCTGGGTTTAGCAGGCCAATGCTCAAACCACTGAGCTAACCCTCCCCCCCAACTTGTTTGTATATTACAGTAATCGTTACATAGGTTTGATGAAACAAAGCAGTTGTACTTCGTGCCTGTGCTTTATTTGTGTTTTCAATGATTTACCTTCTAAAAAAATCTGGCATGTCTCGCACCCCCAATGGGTGTGTGCACCCCAGGTTAAGAACCACTGCTCTAAAGGGTTGCACACTGTTGCTTCTCTAGGCCAAGCACACTGCACAAACCAGGGACTACTTGCATTTCTCTATTGCCTACCACAAGCTAAGCTGTGACACCCTCCCATTGCCATTATTTCAGAGACTCCCTGAAACCTCTCTTCCCTGATGCCAGAGGCTCAATGTATTCTCCCGCACAGTCCTTCTTCAGCCACATGCTAGAAGCTGTATCCGTACCATACTAGTGTTCTCCACTGCCCCCATGGCAGGGGTTCTATGTGCCATCCCACTCTCTAACATTCCCCCGTCCCCATACTTATTTGTTTTCTGTCTGAAAGAAGACTTTAGTGGTGTCAACATTTTAAAATTGTACTGGAAGAGCAGAGCTAAGATGGGGCATTATGATGGAAAGTGTTAACAGCTCCCATCAACCATTCTTTGATCTCTAGACAGTTACACAAGTGGGTGAAACGGATGGGTGTGCTAACCGGATGCCAGGGGCTCCATGTGTCCCCCAGGTCCCACTTTTGGTTTTTCCAGTTTTCATCAAAATCAATATGGGTTCCGTCCATTGATGCCTCTAGAACATTCCCTAACATTTTGGACTTATCAGATAAGAACATAAGAATGGCCACACTGGGTCAGACCAAAGGTCCATCCAGGCCACTATCCTGTCAGCCGACAGCAGCCAATGCCAGGTGCCCCAGAGGGAGTGAACCTAACAGGTAATGATCTAGTGATCTCTCTTCTGCCATCCATCTCCACCCTCTGACAAACAGAGGCTAGGGACACCATTCCTTACCCATCCTGGCTAATAGCCATTAATGGACTTAACCTCCATGAATTTATCCAGTTCTCTTTTAACCCTGTTATAGTCCTAGCCTTCACAACTTCCTCAGGCAAGGAGTTCCACAAGTTGACTGTGCGCTGTGTGAAGAAGAACTTCCTTTTATTTGTTTTAAACCTGCTGCCCATTAATTTCATTTGGTGGCCCCTATTTCTTATATTATGGGAACAAGTAAATAACTTTTCCTTATTCACTTTCTCCACACCACTCATGATTTTATATACTTCTTTCATATCCCCCCTTAGTCTCCTCTTTTCCAAGCTGAAAAGTCCTACCCCGCTTTAATCTCTCCTCATATGGGTCCCATTCCAAACACCTAATCATTTTAGTTGCCCTTCTCTGAACCTTTTCTAATGCTAGCATATCTTTTTTGAGATGAGGAGACCACATCTGTACGCAGTATTCAAGATGTGGGTGTACCATGGATTTATATAAGGGCAATAAGATATTCTCTGTCCTATTCTCTATCCCTTTTTTAATGATTCCTAACGTCCTGTTTGCTTTTTTGACTGCCGCTGCACACTGCGTGGACGTCTTCAGAGAACTATCCACGATGACTCTAACATCTCTTTCCTGATTAGCTATAGCTAAATTAGCTCCCATCACATTGTATGTATAGATGCAGTGTTCAAAAGTTATCGTGTTACATCCAAACACAGAAGTGCCATCTAGTTGTGCATTAAAATGTGTCACTGAGTCTATTACAGTACTCAAGAGTTAATTTTCATCAATGGTGTATCAATACCGCAGTTTGTTTTGGGAACTTTTTCTCTAATTGATTTAGTGTTACCATCTCCATCAGAAAGTTTACTGGATGGAGGGACACTAACAATAGAAGTTCTTTCATAATACCAAAAAAACCAAAACGCACAACAATCACAACACTAAACTCAGTTTCCTACATTTTGATGCAGAACAAATTTGTTTTAACACAAACGAACATCCAAAGGCTCCCCAAACTTTTTCCACTGAACATTAATGATCATCTCAGCTGATCCTTTTTCCAACCGTGAAGAGTGATGCAGAGAAAATGTCACACCAATTAATAAACTGGATAGTTAACTAACAAACCCAATACAGTTACGTGGAGAAGACACCAAAGCAGGGTTAATCTATATTAATGGATTCAGAGAATAGTGATTTCATTTCACTATTCAGCTATAAGTATGTACACAAAGCACATGGGAGGCACGGAAAAATGGAATGATAATGAACCCCACACTCGCTCAAACATATGCATTGAAGGAGAAGAATTTAGATTATTTTTAAAATCTATGCGTATGCTGCCAAACTTGCCAGACAAAATGTAAGAAGAGAGCAGGATAAAAAACCCTTCTCTCCCCTTCCAGGCTTTTATAGCTATAGCCAGCAATGAGTAGGCACAGGGTCTTTAATGGCTATACCCCAAATGGTAACAGAGCTCACCATGAAATAGACACAAGTCCTAGGAACACTAAATCAGACCATCTACACCTTACAGACTAGAGCAGGGCCTGGCCCCCTCCTGCAATCATGGTGAAGGGGGAATAGTGAGCATC